AGCTGGTTACTATTCAAGAATCACCTCCTCCAAACTCAGGAGCGATGCATCCCAAACAAGAGGAAGTTGGGCAAAAATGCCAGGAGGCCTGCATGGATGAAAAAGGAGCTCCTGGACAAACTCAAAGACAAAAAGGAAGCCTATAAAGGGTGGAAACAAGGACAGGTAGCCAGTGAGGAATACAGAGAAATTGTCCAATCAGCTAGGGATTGGGTTAGAAAAACTAAAGCCCTGACAGAATTAAATCTGGCCAGGGACATCAAAAGCAACGAGAGCTTCTATGGGTACGTTGGTGATAAAAGGAAGACTAGGGCCAGCGTGGGCCCACTTTGGAAGGAAACAGGAGACCTGGTTACTTGGAACACAGAGAAGTCTGAGGTACTAAAAAAATAAATTGGAAAGATAGAGAAAATGCTAACATTTTAGAACATACTTAGAATATTAAACTACAAAATTTACAAGCAGCATTCTGAGGAATTTAATTATTGATTTCACTGAAATCAATCTTTGTTGCAGAGCTGCTTCCACAGTGATTTTTACAGGGTGAAATCAAAGGGATTATTTGAAAGAAAAGGTACCATGCTAGATTAACAAATAAGAGCTAATCTGACTTTTCAAAGGACAGCTGCTTTTCCTGTAAATGTAATGTTGTTTAACACAACTCAACCTATCAGAAGTAATTTTAAAACTTATACATAAAAAAGGAATATTAATGGATCACAGAAATCAAGATTAAGATTATATACGATCTTGATTTAAATCCATTCCCTTTGAATTAAAAGGTAAAACTATTATTGTTTTCAATAAGAGCAGAGTAAACATAATGGTAAGAAAAACTTAAAATTTAATTCAAAAATTCTTCCTAAATATTTTTTAGAAGAAACTCCAGAACACATTGACGTAGTCCTATTAAAAAAAATCTGAAAGCCAAATTTGTTTTGTATTGTGGCTAGATTTTACATAATCTAAATAAAGCAAATTAATAATTCTGTTCTTTCAACACAGGAGAAGCGGAGTAGTCTGAAAAATTTCACATGAGAATAATATTTCATTTTGGATAAATAAAGGCAAATTGAAAATGTGTAAAAGGAAATTGAGAATAAAAAAAAAAATAAAACTGAGGATAAACTGACGATAAAAATGATCAAGGCACAAAACCCAAATCTGCCATAGATTGTAGTTAATAGAAGTAATCCTTTTTTGAAGGTCACTATATAGGTAGAGTAATCATATTTCTATTGTGCATGAACATAATGTAATCAAAAGGAAGTTCTGGGAATAGAATTAAAATTCAATTTCTGAGTTCATTAGGTATCTGTGTAGGAGAACTGAATGCTAATGTATGTATTTAATTGCAGTTATAATTCTAGAATCTTCTTGGTTTGATCTCAGAAGCTTATCTTTATGCGAAGCAAAATTTCTAGAGAGGTAACATCTTTTATTCAACAAGTTGTTATAGTTGGGGAAAAATGGACACGCTTGTCTGTGGAAGACTAATTGCAATCCAAAAGCCAACTACAACCACAATTTCTTCTCAAAACTGCTAGTGACAGAGGACTTTCTGCTTTTGGACCATGAAATATTTCATAAAGGATCAGCAAGGCTTTAAAAAAGAGGTATACTGGGTAGTCCTGTTCCCAAAGCCTGTGCCTCCCCGAATAGCAAAATTTCATATTCCATTAGTGGCCTTAGGATTCTAATTGATTCAGCTGAACAGATGGAAAGCATCACATCAAATTGACTGCCAAGGCAAAAACTCAAAGTATCATTACTGCCAGAAATGAACCACCCTAAAGGGAAGCACAGATGACACTACTATATTTACCATACAAACTTTATTAGATCAAATGGTCTAATTTTCCTTATTCCACTTGCACTTACTCTGAATTCCCTGCTTGCAGTTATTCTCAGTCATAAGTGGAAAGTCATAAATGGGCAGCTCTAGTTAGGCAAAGTTGTGTATATACGAGCACCAGAAAGAAATACAATGTAGTATTTTTATCCCTCTTGAAATGTTAGAAGAGGGTCTATAGACTCTTCTGGTCATGGTTCAGCTGTTACATGATGCAGTGCAGGAACAGTATGAATTTTCCAGCTTTTCATGAGCTTCCAACATGCAGAAGATGCATTAAACAATCGTATCAGAGCCCACATGCTTATATTGAATATAAGATTAAGAAAGAATTAGGAAACTATTCTTTTGACTCCCATATTTGCAACAAAGTCCCAGCACAGCCAAAGGTACTTTGTGTATCATTAGGTTAAACACACAGACTTCCCCTTCAATAGACTCACTTATAAGATGTGTTAACGCTGGCAAGGAGGTACAATCTGAAGTGACAAAAAAAAGTAATCTTGCAGGTTTACTTCTAGTTTTGTTTTTCTTCCTACTGTAGAACAAAATGTCAGTTATTATAAATGAAACTTGAATATCCAGACTTTTCTACCTCTTCCCTTCAGTAAGAACCAAACTGCCTGTTTAAATGAGAAGGCCATAAACCATTTGAAGACAAGACCTGAACATAAAAATGTTCTATTCCTATCTACATTTCTCTTTTAAAAAACACAGATTAAAAGTGATTAAATATACTTCAATATTTCTGCAGTTAAAAGTCTTGCAGCCATGAAAACTGTTCTTCTATTCCCTCCTGCTCCTTGTATAGAGCTGTCCTTTGATTACCCAGTTCTCCAGGACACATTCATGAGAACAGTACCTGAACTTAACAGTCCACATTCACATATTTATGCCTACAACAGTCTGCTTTTTTTTCTTGTTCACTGACTGTGAACAGTTTTTATGATTTTACAGGGCATAAATACTTAAAGTTTCTCTCTCCAAAATTTCTTCAAGTTTGTGATCGAGTATTAGCTGTGTAAATCCTTGTTCTCATGAAGTTATAATTCTTGTTGTCTGATACAAAAATAATCATTTCACAGTCAGTAAAATCCTAAGCAGTGCTGGCAAAGTCATGGTTGTTTGATGACTACAACACAGGCACCAGCTCTTCCAATATTTAGGGAAGCCATCTGCAGAAAAAGAGATACAAATTAACTGAACAGGAGCAAGCCATGCAAGACATTGGCAAAGTGCTGAATCAACATTATTCTAAAATGGTCAAAACTAATGGTAGTATAAACTGCTAAAAATAAATACAACCCACAATATCCTAGTACTGGAGTTTTAAAGTTACTCACATCTGACATCTTTCACTTGAAAGTGTGAGAACAGAAAAAATAAGTGATTTTAGAGCTGTCATCAATTTTGTGAACTGTTGATAGGCAAGGAGTTTCTATAATCTGTAGACCGTAGCTGATGCTTCTATTTTAGTCCCTGAGGCAAGGTCAAGTCTTCCAATCGTAGCCTAACAAAATTGTATGGTTCCAATATTCCTAAACAGGTTCAAGTGTTCTTTAGAATAAGTTTGGTAGCTTTAGACACTATTCGAGACAACACAAGGATTAATAAATATAGGAGACTGGATCTTGTGAAACTAACATAGTAGAGTCAGCATATATAGTATGTAATAATAAGAGTAATGATAATACACTGTAATTAATGGTACTGTACGTATCAAAGCAGAGGTGTTACATGTTTCCTAACTATCTGTCCAAACATGGTTATTCTTTTTTTTTTTTTTTTTTTTTATGTGGACTGGTGGATTTGAGAAAAGAATTTTTCCAAATTGATTTCTTATTTCCTGCAGAACATCCTAAAAATAGTCTTTTGTCATTTAATTAATAGTAGATTAAAACACATGGGCTTCTGCATTAACTTTACAACATGTATGTCTACATTTAAGCTTGACAACAGAAGCCTCCCTTTACAATCATAAAAAGAAATAGGCATTTTTGAGTGTAATACATCTGGTCTATTTTAAATGCTTATTTTAGGATAAGATCATACTTTCAAAGTATGTACTTTTCTTCACTAACTTTAAAGGGAATTTAGGGTGACAAATTCAGATGTAAACATCTACAGTGGTGGAACAAATTATTTTTTCACAAAATTCTAAAACTGAATTAATAACAGTGTTGAAATAATCCTTTGTTTCTTTTTAAGTCTTTGCTATGAATGCGAATCTATCCAAGCTTTAAAGGGAATTTAGGGTGACAAATTCAGATGCAAACATCTACAGTGGTGGAACAAATTATTTTTTCATAAAATTTTAAAACTGAATTAATTAATAATAGTGTTGAAATAATCCTTTGTTTCTTTTTAAGTCTTTGCTATGAATGCGAATCTATCCAAGCACTACTGTGACATAATAAAAAACATTCCTTCTACAACCAAATTACTAGTTCCCAGCTTCTTGCATTATACCACTATTTCTATTATACCTATTAATTCTTATATGGTTCAACATTAAGAACATATATACAGTTCAACATTTCAAAATATCCAACAAACAGAAAAAAATGGAATTGAAGAATGAAATAAATGAACACTTGGCTTGCTACATAAAACACAAATTTTTGTATGAAGGATCTTCAGGACATGCTTGTTACCAGTTAAAGCTCCAGATCCATTTTGATACTTTTAATTACATTTATTCTGCATGAAGAGGCATTCAAGGTCAGGCTGGATGGGGTTCTGAGCAACCTTATCTAGTTGGAGAAGTCCCTGCTCACCGCAGGGGGGTTGGACTAGATGACCTCTAAAGGTCCCTTCCAGCCCGAATGATTCTATGATTCTATGATTCTAAGAAAGATGAAAAAAATTATTTGCTAAAGAAATTGATCAGAACAAGAATTTTGTCTGAAAGGTAACAAGATAATATTTCTAATGACTGCTTACTTTGTCTTTTTCCAGTTTCTTAGGATCTACTTCTATCTTTTCTGTCTTCAGAGGAAACTCCGAACATAATACTTGATAAAATACTAGGACTAATTTTACAGCTATGCCAACCTCAGATCCTACACTTTTTTTCAGAAAATTAATGTTTTTGTGTACAACTATCAAAATATGTTACAGATGAAAAAAACAAAGCCTTTATGATTACCTGTGTCCATTCATTAGTTTGAGGGTCATATGCTTCCATATTGTTCAGGTATGTTTGACCGTCATAGCCACCTACTGCATATAATTTGTCACCAAGGAGACAGACACCAACAGCATCTCGAGGCATACTCAGTGGAGCCACCATTGTCCACGTATCAGTTTTTGGATCATACCTGAGGAAAGAGAAAGGAAGCTGAATGTCCAGGGAGCAGATAAGTGTTGATTCATGCTGATCTTCACTTGAATATAGTCCTTTTTTTCTGGAAAAAAAAAATCTTTTAGTATCCTATCCAAAAATATTCTTCCTAATGGCAAAAAGAAAACACACAGATTTATTATGTTTCCAATTCAAACCTCTAAATGTTGATTGGGAACTTTTACTTAGCTAACTTTTTGGAACAGACTAAAGTATTTGTGGGGTAAGATGTCATAAAAAAGAGATTTGAGAAGGATATAAGAGCAATATCTGGATGTACGTATATTTTTATGTATATATTTTAAATAGGACATTTCTTGTAGCATATTAAAAACATTCTTTTTAAAATTATATGCTATATTTTAATTTCTAAAATTATACTATACAATGTTCACAGCCAGAAAATCTCCCTAAGAATTCAGGGGATATGCTTAACTGCATTAGAGTTAATCTCCTCCTGGTATTTGCTCAAGTGAAGAGAGTAGTACTGTTATTCAGACATAATCACCATAGAATTTTTAAAACTAAGGGAAAAATTGCTTTTGTATAATGACATTCATTTAACAATTAAACATTTAGCCTAAGCCATTAATTTAGATATTAACAATGTAAAAAATAGTTAATTTCAGAAGCCATTCCATTGTACTTATTTTAGACATCTGTAAAAGAGAAATGAATCACCTTTCGATAGTGCCTCTCAGTTTGTTACTAAAGATGTCTGCAGTATTAGGTTAAACTACATACCTCATTCTTAGATAAGAAATATTACTAAAATAGAATACTGTATCACAGTATGATAAAATTAATTTCATGTGTCCTTAAGAATCTCTACTATGTACTAGATTCACTTGATAATCAGTGGAGAAAATAAACAGTTTAAGGATGACTTTAGTAATTTGCTTAAGTGTAAGGTAGATCACACTTTGGGCATGATAATTTCTCTAAATTAATTATAAAGGAACTCTAATAGCTTTAAACTGGAAGACGGAATATTTAGCTTAGATATTAGGAAGAAATTCTTCATGGTGAGAGTGGTGAGGCACCGGAACAGGTTGTGCAGAGAAGTTGTGGATGCCCCATCCCTGGAAGTGTTCAAGGCCAGGTTGGATGGGACTTTGAGCAATCTGGTCTAGTGGAAGGTGTCCCTGCCCCTGGCAGGGGGGTGGGAATAGATGGGCTTTAAGGGAGGCAGGGGGTTGGAATTAGATGGTCTTTAAGGTCCCTTCCAGTCAAACCATTCTACAATTCTATGATTCTATAATGGCTAAAAATTTTAGTTATTTACAAGCCTTCTAACTACTATATTATTACATAAAATTAGGCATCAAACCACTTTCTCCTACATCTTTAAGAGACAGTAATAGCTATAAGTTCATTTGGGGGCAGGGGGGAGTCAAGTTCTTTCAACAAGTTTTCTTGTAGTCTGAACTTTATTAACTAGAAGTTGATAATCCTACAGAAAGTTGTATATACATGTACTTTACAAAGACGAAAATTATACACTTTTACTACAAAGATTGACTATAAGAGCACATGTAACTATTTCAGTCATTCATATTTTAAGTAAGCAATTAGTAGGAATACTGCTTGAAGTCCCACATTATATTTGAACAATGGAAATTTGTAACTTTTTAAATATAAATATTGCAATAAAATGTTACAGTGCTTTGCTTGCAACTGCCTTTTGGTTCATAACTATGACCTTCAAATTGGACAATAACAGAATTGTCTTTCACTTTGATTAAACTGTTCTTGACAGCTAAATACATTTTGTGAAAAAAATTCTACTCATCTACTGGCTGCTAATCCTTCTGGCTTTATGGGGACTTATCAGAAAAAAAGATGTTAAAATTTTGTGTTCAACTTCCAGTGTCTAAAATGCCATTAAACTGAATGTGTTGTTCATTTTACTTCCTTTTTTAAAATTTTCTTTATTTTATTTATTCACATTCTTTCATTTTGCTGTCTTTCCTTAAGAAATGTTGAATTCAATATCTAGATATGTGATAAATGTCTTTTAAAACTTGAGAGGAAAAACAATTCTTGAATATGTGGAAGGGAAATGCATGCGTAACAAGCCAAAAAAAAATTTTATTTTGAATGGATTTTTTCAGACTGTGTGATTTTTTCAACAACAGCATCACATGCCTCTAGCTGGAAGAGTTTCCCAACCAGTGAAATGCACCAGCGTGCGTTGTTTCTACACCTGCTTAAAGGCAATACATTTTAACAGACTCTTTGACACACTACTCTTGAAATACAAGGTCCAAGGTGAGGAAGTGCAAAAGCAGGGAAACTAAACATGACTGACATCTTTGGACTTTATTTTTTTTTAATAAACAGGTATACAAGGCTAAACAGAATTCTTATAACTCAATTCTGTCAACAAATAGAACTGCACAAGAACTTGTCTTCTGTAATTGCCAGGAAAATGTCTGATATTTCTTATATACCTTCTTCTGCTAAAAACAACTGTACATTTCATCTTTATAATAACTAGGTATGCCCTAGGGTAAGAAGGGTTATGATAAAAGTTCCTGAATGTGGAAAAAAATCTATTTCAACAAGGTGAGATGAAGGGGAAAAACTACAGATCACTTGCTTATATTTTTAATAGCTGTCAAGTTTTGAGTGACATTTGGAAAAGCAAGCTACTTTATAAAATCTACCAAAATATCTCCAAAATTTTATAATTCTTAAAAAAGAACTAGTTATTTTACCTTTAAAAAGGAATACAACACTGTACTTTAACAGCTTGTGAAGAGTAAACAAACATAAGTATTATTTTATTTTAGAATGCTTGAATACATAGGAAATCCTTTACAATTGCATCAATCTTCAAAGAGAACAAACTGGGAGTCCTAATTACTATTGAGCAGGATTTTAGCAGTAACATTAAAAACACATATCTGCTCTCACTAGATTTACATAATCTCAAAAATAAATTTTAAAACATTATGTCTAATTTGGCAGTCTTCCAGGAGTAAATTGGTATTTGAATAAGGCACATGCTATCAGGCTGTATCAGAATGACAAAACGACTGAAGTAGACTCATTCCTGAAGAAGAAAAGAGACTTAGTTAAAAAATATGCCCTAGGTATTTACAGAAAGTAAAACTTTCCAAGAGATATAAAATAACTTACTGTAATAGACCACATTATCACTTACTAGTCTTTTGTTTCCTAAATTATTGAGATTTTTTCTATTTTGAAGATGGTGCATTATTTTTGAATGTAAAAATAGACACACTAAATCACATCCCAGCCACTTTATAAACTTATCAATCACTGGGAGGGCTATGAGAGTTTTTTCATGTTTTAGTGGAGTCCACAGGTTAATATACATCTATGTAAACTAATAGCCTTACAAGTTCTGATTTGTTAGTCCCAACTTTTAGTCTGGAAGCTAACCGCCCATGAAGTACATTATCCACATTTTTTGCTACCACTGCAAAAACACCTAGACGAGGAACATTGTATAATATCATTCAGACAACAGTACATAAAATAACTAAAGGATATGTGGTTTAGTTCCTTGTTAGAATCTCCCCTGAGAAAGACAAATATCATGGGATGTGGTTTGTCTTCAACACCAGAAGAGTTTTCTTCTCAGAGACTGAAAAATTAAAGAAAAGCGCCCTTTTAAGTAACAATAAGCAGAAGTAGTTGGAAAGATGTCATACTTATTAATATTGCCATTAGTACTCTTTATATAAATTCATTTCATCGAGAATTCTGGTTATTGTTCCTTATAAATAGAAGCCCAGGAGGATAGGCCCTGTAAGTACAGGCATCATGGGATTTCTCTGATGAACCTTCCATCTGTTGGAGACAAGAAGTAAAGTATTTGGCAGTCTGTGAGATTTGCTTACATACAGTAGAGATGGGAATGAGTCCAAGACTGAGCAAAATCATATGGATAACACAAGAAGTAAGTTTTAATTTTTGGATTACTTGTTGTGGGTAATCGACCCACAACCAACTACTGGTACATATCTATTTTAACTTTTGCAACCTTTACATATTTGTAGTGTGTATTTTCCTTATTCTATTTAAAGCACGTAGAAACAGAAAAAAATCAAACCTTCATGAAACATTTGAAGAGTACCTTCAAACTGAATGCTATAATCACTCCAACTGTGCCTTACTGCCCTACCAGATATTCTTGAATTTGCAGAATATCCACTTGCAAAATTCAGGGTACTGTAAAAACAGTGTTTAAGGTTTATATCAACATATCAGAAAGAGGCAGTGGTGCGAAAGGAAGCAATGTCATGTACCATAAATATACATCACTTAAGCCGTTCTATATTTCTTTTTTGCTCAGTTATGTTTTTAGAGTTACAAAATGCTTCTAAACACAATTTGGTGAAATAAAATTATTTCAAGGCTGAATTTTTGTCTCTGCAAAGTTTAGTTTATGACTCTGCAATGTGTAATATTGTGCCTTAAAAACAAAGATTTCTTAAATGAGATGTTTAAAGAGTGGATTTTTGTGTCCATGACAATATATAATAGTACTAAAAAAAAAAAAAAAAAAAAGGCAAAAAAAACCATCTTCAAAAAATTTACCATCTTCAAAGAAATTGTCTGCTACAAATCTCCATGCAATTTTTCAAGTAAATAATAATTCAGCATGTTTTGGGGTAAAAACTTCTGTTTAATTTTACCATCACTTAGCTAAGAAAATGATGCCACTGGACATTATTTTGTATTCAAAAAATGCATGTATAATTGGATACCTTTCTACATAGTCCAGCAGTCGGGAACAATGGTTAGAAGCAGGAGCATCATGGCCTCCAACTGCATAAAGAAAGCCATCACATGTAGCCACTCCTACACCTCCTCTTCTCTTACACATAGGAGCACACATATTCCACTTATTTGTGTGAGGATCATAATATTCCATTGAACTCAAACATGAACTTCCATCCCGGCCTCCAACTGAATATAACCTAAGAAAGTCCACACAAATAAAAATGTTAATAAAACAAGAGCTCAAAACTGTAGAAATAAAAACTAGGAGCCTCTGGTTTCTTTATCTGACATCAGCAAACAGGAAAAAAAAAATATAATCTCTCAAAATCATACAATTTTCATACGGTCAGCAAACATAGATGATCTTAATATTATTACCAAATTCACATACTACTTAGTGTTTTGCCCACCTGAATAGAAAGGAAGGTATTTTCTTTCTGGTAATAGATATTTTCATTCTTCAATTACAGCATATACTGCCAAGAGTGCTATAAGTGACATAAGGATTTGTCTCTATGGATTTATAAATCATACAAGCAGTGTTGCTGCCTAACTGCTCATCACCTGTGAGGTGGAACTGAAAGTGCTAATTTATAATTGGTAATCCAGACAAACAGGAAATATGCAATCCATTTATTACAGTTTCTCTGTGTTTTTATGTTTTTATGATGCATCAAAGTAGTGGGAATTAGTCTGACAACTGCTGTCCTGTATTTTTCTTGTACAATTTTTGTATAAATCTTTAATACTGAATAGATACACAGGGTTCTAATTCTCCCTTCCCAGGGAAAAAAAAAAAAAGAAAGGAAAAAAAATAATAGTAGTGCATAAACTTTGTATGCTAAACTACATACCATATGGAAAACTGTAGTCAGTCTTTGATCTAGTATTCAGCCTATTCCACATACAAAACTATCAATGGGACGCGCATATCCAGAATGAATGTTACACTTACAATATAATAGAGATCAAATATATAGTGCATTGCAGAAAAGAATATCACATTATGTTTTAAACATGGATTTTTTTAAAAAGTACTATCTTAGTTTCAAGGATCTTGGTTATATTGAAGAAAGGTCTTGCCCACAGTAATATTAACGTGTCTACTCAGCAAGTAAGAAAATGATATCCCCAGGCACTGTATGTTGATGTTCTTCATCAGAATATATTATAAGGATTGAGTTCTGTAGGGAAGTGTGGAAAACTTCTGAAAATATTTTAAATTTGAAATGACAAAAACGTGTTTTAACAAAAAATATGTTGTGTTTGTAACTATCTGCAGGCAAGAAACTTGTTTTCTTCCTGCCTTTATAATGGTTCCCAGGAGGAAACAGTTCTGATTGTTCTTCCCCACTATTACCATGCTTCATTCATTTCTTCTACGAATCCATTTGCAGTCTGTTGCCTTTTCTACAGTGCCTGGAGATTAACTAATAGAAACACAGGCTATTTTAAAGTCCAACCACTGAGCAATTTAGGATGCAAAAGCTGTCTGTGTCAAGCAATTATTCATTTGGAAGCTTTTACTGTCCTAAGCACTCCATGAATTCAGAGCTACTTAAATGTGCATTTACCATTACGTTTCATTGGCATAGATGCTGATGAATAAGGAAGTATCGTACTACCACTAAATATGTCACTGAAGCCATAGAATATTTTCATACTGCCTGACAGACATACTTGTGCTCTGACTAACATAGCCAGGAGAATCCATACTCCTCTATGAGAGGTGTTGAAGCAAATACACTTTTTCGCAACTATTTCTGTAGACCCACTCATTAGACATTTACCTATCTATATGATTATCAGATATCTCCAGGTGGGATCCAATTCATGATTAAGACATCTACATGTAAGTGTTAACCTGTGGGTGTCTACAGTGTCTAAATTTCTGTTATGCTCAGGGTAGTCAGCTGAGCCTAAAGAAAAATTTGGTTCACGAGCCACAACCACACTTTTTTTCTTCAGCAGAGAATAAGGACTGCAGAACAGCACTAAAAATACTTAAACATGTGATCCAAATATATTTACGTTAACATAAATTTAAATATAAACATTTATATGTAGGTGTCTGCAAGGATATTATCTTTATTTTAAAAGACGAAACTTGGTTCAGCTGCCCACAGGCAGTGACCAAATGTTATTTTTGTGACATCTAGGGTACAATGACATTTCCTGCAGGCTGGCAGATACGGCCAAGACTACACAGGAGAAACATGCATGATTGCTGGAGGTCAAGTAGGTTACCCTGAGGCATTTCAAATGGCAGTAGACAATTACAAGTAGGTAAGTGAATTGATCCCTAAAAATGAAGACTATGGTTAACAAGCCTGAGACTTCCAAACAGATTTCGAAGTGAATATTTGGACACCTAAACACCTCATACAATTTAAAAAAAATGGAAAGTACCAACACTTCTGCAGAGTTCAGTGTGAATAATGCGTTCCCCTAGTCTAAATACCTGCCACTTTGTTTATTTCTTCTGGCATGAAAAGTTCTCATCTATTCCATTGTCTTTCAACTGAAATAAAACTATAAACTGATATTTCCACACTGAAAGTGGAGCGCAATTTTCCATTCCTCTATTTCAATTAAGACAGCTAGCAAAATATAGCTAAAGGTATTCCTGACTTGTGGATAAAGAGACAGGAAACCTGTTCATCAGTGACTGACAAAAGTTTCATCCAGTGACTGGAACCACCTAGTTTTTGTTAACACACTCCATGGTATTCAGAACAAAACAAAATTAATTTCCAAAATCTGATTTTGGAACCATCATTTCAGAGTTTGATTGTGTTTTTATCTGAGTAAGGAATAGTTCAGAAGACTAACAATAAAAGATTATTTCACAAAGGACTAGTTCAGACAAATAAAAGTTGGAAATTGAGTAACTGTTTTAAAGCTCCGGTTGTGGCTGAGCCCGAACACCGCAGTCAGGGATTGCTTCCACTCTTCAACCAAGTTTCCTAATCCATAGTCACAAAGGCCCCAAATGACTGCAGAACAACTCTGTAACCAGTGCTGAATATTCAGGATACTGTATAGCTAACTGAAACTTTTGAAATACTTATATCTAAAGATATTTAGTAGTCTTACTTCCTTCTTAGTGCTCAGGGTCCTACCTTTTTCGATGACTTAGAATGAATCAATTTTTGCTGTTTTGTCTTTCTTGATAACAGTTTATAGTAAAAATTTCTATAGGGGAAAGTATAATGTCTTTCTCTAAAAAAGCCTGAAAACCTGGCACACCAACATTGGGGTTCTGCCGTTGCTTACACACCTAACTGTTCCCATGCCATCTCCCAGTAATTCCTGTGGAAATCCACATCCATTTTCATGTGTAAGTACTTTTAGAATTCAGACAGGAAAGATAATCTAGTGAGCCTGGATTTAGCAAATTCAAGTTCCTCAAATTTTGCTTTGTTTGTTATTTCCACATTGTTAATTTACAATATTATCTTAGTAATTTTACCTTGCCTTATGATGTACTACTTCAACTAGCATCAGACACATAGCTCATTTTTTTTTATTTCTCCCAGATTACTGGTGTCTGTAGACTTCTTGTAGATGTCACATCTCTTAATAGCTTTTGAGTACCTACAATATTGTAAGACATTTATTTTCAACATTGTGTCATTGAAAAGAAAGCTTGAGAAAAAATCATAATCATGATCACATAATAGTCATGTCTTTATTCATTTCTGAGTTGGGAATATTCTGTTAACTGAATTGCACCTCATTGTGTATCCCATCAAAACAGTTTGGATTTCTATTATAATTATCACTGTTTAGAGGGGAAGATTGACAAGGGAAAGAAAGCATCCAGTACTGAGAACTTTTATCACCTCTTATCACCATGAAAGTTTTGCCTGTGGAGATGTTATAGATTTCTATTCCCCAATGGTCTATATTTCAGCTTATCCAGACACCGTGCGTAGACATGAATTTAGACCAAACGCAGTCTCCTTTGAGCTGGAAATTTTACTTTTCAGGGCTTGGTCACTTCTTTTTGTATTAAGATGGATAGAGATTCCTAAACATTTGTGTGTGTGTATATATATGTATATATATGTAAAATGGCTAGAAAATGTAGTAGATGTTTCAAAGTAGAAGACATTAGGAGAAATCACGATCAGCTGGATCAAAAGCATGTATCTCAGTTCTATCATTACAAACCTTTGAAAACTAATCAGAAAAGCCATTTTTAAATTCAGTTTGACAAGCCAACCTCAAAAGACCAGACTGCCTTTGATGTGAGGTAGTATGGCTTGTGAAAACAGTTGAATCATGTCTTTGCTGCATTTCTTAACAAGGTTTTGCCTTTCAAAATTCTTTTACTGTGAATATCAAAGACCATATCCTGCCTTTTGCTTAGGCCCTTTTGTACCCTTTTCTGCCCTTTCAGTGTGCCTGAAAGACTAACAGAGAATTACTCTGGCACAAACAATATCTGCCTAGTAGAAGTGATGGGAAGGTTATAATTTTGATCAGTGCTGGACTTCTGTATTGCTCTATCAGTCCATACCTGATCTAGGGATCAGACTGTAGGAGAGGAAAGATATCTATCCATGCTGCCTTGGTTATGCCAATGAACTGGCAAAAGGTGAAAAAAACGATCATTTTCTGAATGGAAAGAATTACTGAAGTCTTATTTCTGTGTGAAAATTTGGAATAGTATTTCATGTATTTGGTCCAGTAATGCAGTAGTGGAGTAAATTAAAAATACATCAGGTTTGACCAAAAAAGCAAAGAAAAAAAAAGTCATAGAGAAAGTGCCTGCAATTAAAGAAATAATAACTACTGATAGAAAATATTGAGAGAAAAACACCCTTTGCATGGATAATATAATTATGGCAAAATTCTACTTCTTATAGTAGAAAGTATAGTTTTCTAATAGAAAGAACGTGTTTCAAGTAAATTTAATTCTAATCAAAATTACATGGGCTATCTTATCTCTGCAAGACCAGTGACTGAATGCAGATCTCATCAGTTAAAAATGTTCTTGACTGTATCAGGCTATAAGACAGTTAAGGCAAAATAGGCTTTGTAAATTAATCATTTACTACAGCATGAGCTTAAGGCCCTTTATTTGCTTTCTTATTTATTCAAAAAGATGCAGTGAATCTGTCATTAAATAAGAATTTTTTATTGAATTCACAGAGTTACTTTGTGCTAGACTGAGCTAATGAGTTAATGA